GACTAAGATGTTCTGTTCCCAGATTGGCCACACTTGAATTTGCGTGGTAGTCCGGTCGCCGAGGTAGCTGTGGATGGCGTCGCCCGCGCGATCGGCCGGGACAAATGTGTGTAACTCGCAGGGAACGCGAGGTTTCACTACTGCGATGTAGTCTTCGCGAGAGAGGCGAGGAGTTTGACACGGATGCCACTTGCGTTGCTTCGCTGGCTGCGAGGACGGAGCAGAGGTAGGCACACCACCGGAGGGATGGCGCGCCGGCGTTCCTTGCAAGGCTGGGGAATGGCGGCCAGCTGTAGCGTCTCGTTGTCATTGAGACGCAGACTTTGATTTGGCTTGCTTGCGTTGCCACAGTCTCACCTTGTCGTCGAGGTATTCGTCTTCTGATGGCATAGTGCTTACGGAGGATGAAATCTCCATGGACAGTACTTGGCTTGAGGTAGGATCATAGCCCGTAACCACGTTGGCGGCCGCCATCGCCGGGCTGAGAGCCCTTAGCGAGGCGGCGTTGTAGCCGGGAGTGAAGGATGTCCCTCAAGTTGTCAAAACTGGACCCACCTGGACGAAGGTATTGTCTAGGCGAAGCGGAGAACTTGGCGGTGACGATAAACCCAAGTTTCAAGGGTACCAGGGTGGATGTCCGCAGAAATAGCAGAAAATCTACGGAGGCGATGTGGAGTTCGTCCGTCACCATCGAGCGCTCGCAGCACCCCCCCGCATCTGATCGCCCGCCGTGGTCGTGAAGCACTTTCTATACTCGGCTGCCGACCTGATGGTCGCGGGTACGATCCCGGCTGTGGCGGCGGATGGATGGATGATGGAGGTGAAATGCTAGAGACTCGTATACTGTGCCAGGTCAGGGCACGTCAATGAACACGACATGGCCAGACTTTCAGAAGCGCTCCACTACGGCATGGCTCGTAATCATATCATGCTTATAGCACCCAAAGCCCCAGATATTATTATTATATCTGATTAGCTCGATATAGAATGAATGAAGGGCAAGGCGCAGGAGACAAACAGGACATTCACATGCGTACTTGTGTGACTGTTCTTGCCTGCGTGAGATGTTCGAACTGTTGGAGTGCAGAGTGTTGTGTTGATTACGGTTCAAGCCTTATTTGTGAACGTACAGTACGGAACATACACTGTGGCTCAGGATGTAACACAAGATAGGAAATAAAATATCGACAAGGCGTGGCATACTTCGGGAAATATAAGAAACAGTGTCAGCGACCTTCGCCACAGCAACCGACATCAGTCCACGAGACTTCTTCCAACTCATCAAGAGTTGCATCAAGTCACGTCAAATGGGAGCTCAAGCTCGGCGGAAGTGTTTACGTCACTTGAAGCTTCCCGTTTATTTTCTCTTATCGCGCAGGAAGCTGTTTAGTTCCTGAAAGTGTCTTCGATAATCAAATCTCGTGCATTCTTAATCGTCCTGCCTCGAATAATTAGATTCTGAAAGCTGCCGTCTCTTTTCGTAACGTAAGTCCAACTTAAGCAATGCACGACCGGCTCCGAGCCGATTTAAAGTTGAAGCTGAATATAAAGGGAAAAAGAACGTGTTACTTTTAAAAAAGCAACAGGGCCCTTTTTTCTCTCACTCTTGAGTGTCTGCAAGATTTATTTATATAAATATTCACTCTTTTCACGTGATCTACCCTCATGGCGTATATACTCAAGTCACTGGTGTAGAACCACACCAACACTTTTTCACATCCCTTGAGAGTGTGCAAAGCAAGATGAAAAGCCCGACACTTTAGTTTCTAGCCCGGCCCTGGAAAACTAGCTGCAACTGATCCAAAGAGCTGAACGGATAGCTCGTGCCCATGGGGTCTATGAATATAGGAACCTCACCATGCCGGACAGACTTCGCTTCTCACCTGTGGCGCACTGGAGTTTTAGCCTGCCTGCATTATGTGAATAATAAAGTTTTTCTACTACTACTTGAGAGAACTGTTTTGATTTCGATGCCTTCAATACTTTCGCTGAATTGTTATAGATGAGTCCACATTTTGCTTCATTGTTTGTACATGCCTGCGTTTTTCAGTGTCTAATGTTGGTTTTATGATGCGCATGATTTTTTTAAAAATAAGAGAAAGGCTTAGATTGATCTCCACTCCTGCGAAACGGGAAATCTGTTTAGACTTGTAATGAGAGTTTGAGCTTCTTAAGTGTTTACTGTAATGGCTTCTGGTAGAAAGTTGTGATAGCCTTCGACATTTATCAAAAGCATTCATAAACTATAGGTAAATAAGGAAGCCGCCAGGCTTTTTAAGCTTTTTGGTTACTGGACTTTAAGCACTTCGTTTCCAAGCGCATGCGCAAGCCTGCTCCCACTTTAAATAAGGATGGTTTGTGACCATTGCACTTTGGTTTTGATCTTTTCATTGCTTCAATAACACGAAAAGTACCACGATGTTGTTCTCTGCAACAGAGACGTCAGTTCTTTTTTTTTCTTCAAGTTTACTTAAGAGCTGCACACCGTGGTAGAGTCGTCAGTGTAAGATGTTTGCTCTAGCGCATCTACCTCTTGAATAATGCATTCTGTGGCGACAAATTTGTAAGCGTCTGACTGATCGCGCCATCGCGTCAGATGTTTCGAAAGAATACAAACATGACATACACTGCGCTGTAGTAAAAGAATGTTTTTGCAAGACACTTTAAAAAAACGCTGATCTTGAATAGAAGCCAGAAACGCGTATTCGAGAGCTGAATCTTGAGAATGATGGCAGTGCATATTACTATCAAGGCTCTGTCAGTGCTATACGCTTTCTCTGCAAAGTCAACACCCCTCAGTTCTCGGGTATTGATAACTGCACAGTCTTTGTTCGTTTGTTTGTGTTTGTTTTTCGTTTGCTTCATCCTTCATTCTGAATGGCCACGTGCTGCCCGAGCTTGGCGAAGGGACAGTACCAACACGAACCGGACGCTTTTGTTATTCAAATTCCCAGCAGTCAGCGATGCAAATCTTCAGCTCCTTCCATTTTATGAGTGACCGGTGCGCAGGAGTAGCGGGAAATAAACACACACATATAGAAAAAAAGCACATGATAACGAGCGAAAGAAAACCGCGTATTAATTTTTCGTTCCTCTTCTGCCGACCTTCTTTGTGCTAGGGCGTTGACCTTCCACTATTTTTTTTATTATTTCTACTTTACACATGCTTCCAGAGCTTCAATTCGAAATCTCTTAGTTCGGTCATGTTATTGCGAACCACTCCGGGCACACGATGCCGTCCTGTCCACGTGTCAGTGCATCCGTCATGACGTCCGCACTACTAATCCAAAACATTTTGAGGTTGCGTGTGTATGAGAGCACATTCCTACGGGGAAATAACGCCGCCCTGGGGACATAATACTTCGTAGCACCGGGAAAGCAATTGACGCAGCAAGGCATAAAATGTCACCGGGGTGCAGACTGAGGCAGGGTCTACTCAATAGCCCTCGAGAGAATGACAATGCATCTTATTATTCCACGACTATGTTCAATAGCGATCACTTTCGTAGGGCCGGTGAATTATTTCTTCCTATACTTGTTCGAATAGTCCGTTATTGCTACACTTAACTAATGTTTCTTTCACGGTGCTCCGATCAGACACGCAGGACAGTACAGAATAGTTTTTGGGTGCTTTTAGGGGAGAGCTGATTTCAATTTTAATCATTTTTCCGAAGTACGGCGTGGGATTGCGTGGTCACTGCCTTGGGGTCTGCGAAAGGTATTCCGTTCAAGCCATGCGATTGCAGTGATGGCAAGAAAGAGAACATTAATGAGTGCTCTGTGAAACAGCGCAGTCATGTACGTTCGATATGAAATCCAGCTGCTCGGATACATCTTTGACCGCGCGTATTTTTTCTGATCAAGGCAAAACTTGTAAACAAGAAAAGATTCGTATACCTTTAAATTATGTTGTGAATCTTGTTCAGTATAAACACCCATTACGTGTTCAATATTTTCTTCTGCACCTGTTCATCCGTTTTCCAGCGTGAGTAGCATACCATTCGTAACCTGGGTAAAGTCCTTGTCCCAACGTTTTAAATGTTTCTCTCTGTCTTTGCATCACACAAGAAATAAAATAAAGTAAACGCGTCTTGCACATTCGACACGTGTAAGAACATATACAGCCAAGAAGCCAAAATGTACCAGTGACTCGTCGCAGTCTACATATGTTTTAAACATCTAGCGCTGATTCTCCACAAGAACTCTAATTGCAGCGCAAGCAACTGAGGCAAACGAACAGAAAAAAAAGCATCGCAATCTGTCTGATCTTTGAGATCAAACCCTTTGAGCTCTATAAAGTTTATCATACAATGACAAGAAATTATTCTTACCAATACTCTTTGCCAATCCGCTTTTAGCGATGTCATGTGTTACTTGTACACGAAGAGAGACACGCGGTTTTGTAGTTCTAAACCGAGAAACTGTTGTGCCCAGTGCCCGTATGCGCTCTGTCGTCTCCGCAAATCCCTCGGGGTTCATTTTACTGCATTTGTGCTTCTAGGCCATCTACCATGTTCACCGCTTTTTAAATATGATTAAGAAAGCAAGTTAAGGCGATAATCTACTAGTCTCTAATTTTATGGAAGGTCCGTAAAATGCTTCACGCACAACGTTCTGAGCAGAATCGAACACGGTGCTGCTTGAGACAGTATCAGCCAAGCGAAGAACACGCCGGACTTTACTTCGTCGATAGAAGACAGAAGGGGGTGAGAGAAAAAGGCAAGTGATTGAAAAAGAGAAGGAAAATGAGCGAGACTGGAGGAGAGAAGGAAGGAAAGAGAGGAGCGAGTGTACCAGACACTTGCTTCGTGGTTTAGATTCGTGAGCGTTGACTGGCCGTTTGCGCCACCCCGTAGGTGAAGGAAGCAATGGGAAGGGGAAAACGCGGAGAGGCACAGGATGTGACGTCACTCAGCGGAAATGGAAAGGAGAAAAGCTCCCCCACCAGCCAGAGAAGAAAAATGAGAGCGTAAGACAAAGAGAGGCGTCAAATAGAAATAGTGAGAGACATGTCAGTGTTGGGACAAGCGAGTAGGAAGAGAAGGTCGGAGAAATAGAGAATGCATCGAACTGCCATAAAAAAAAGGGGAGGGGGGCAAGCACAGCTCCGAAGCAGGGAATAGGATCAGACTGAGGCCCCACCGTTGGCCGTGGCGAGAGAGAGGAAGGTTCGGAAGAAGTGCCTCCGCGGCTCGGACTTCGCACGCCCGAGGCATTGGCACACGCGCTGCCGCTCAGCGCAGACGCTCGCATCGCACCGACGACGCGCTCCAGCGCCCGTGTTGCCGACGTGTGGGGGAAAAGCGCTGCTGCTGCTGCTTGTCTGCAATGACGAAGTAAAAGAGTGTGCGGAGAGGCAAGGAGGGCGCTAATCTCTTTGACCGGTCCCTGAGGCAACGAGGCTGCGCGTTCTGCCCATCGAACACCGTTCGCTCCGCTTGTTTGATCGGTGAATTAGCGAGCCGCTCGCTACACACGGCTGCGTTTTGTCTCCGTTGCTCGGAACTCGCTGACGTGGACGGACTTCAACATGGGTTAGACTGCCGTGTGAAGATAGGAACTTCTCTTGATCCCAAGAATTCTCGAACTCACTGCCGCCGATGTTCGATAAACTGTTGATTCCTCTTTCCGTGGTCGTCCTCATTCTGCTGGGCGCCGTCGCTTCTGCCAAGTTCGAATGACTCTAAACAAGTGGTTCCGTGTCAGTCAGCCCTTTTCCGATTTGTGGTAAGCACCTGCACAGTTTTTTTTTCATACTGTCTGGTCTTTAGAATACACACCCGTATGAAAGAATGCAATGATGAAAGTAAAACTAATGAGCTACTGAGCAAGCGCATATGCCTGTGACATTCAATTTAAACACTCATTGTATTTTCTCTTTACCAAAATATGTATCAATTGCTGGCATGACTAGCCTTCCTTATGGATGAGCTATTGCACACTCATATGCCACATTTTTTAAACACACATACTAAAACAAGAATATAGCCAATAAATAACTGCGCTGCTCATGCAACGATTAGGTTTGAATAATAAGTAACTACTAGAACGGATATTAAGGTGATTGATTACAAAGCAGCTTCACGATTTCAGCTACAACGAGAGCCACCGCTTTGGAAAACGTGTTTTAAGTAGTGAAAGCGCGTTCTGTGTAGAAAGGAAGCGAAACTGTCGATTTCGTGTCGTGTGCGTCTTTTGTTACGTCCAGTCTTCAGCGCTCTCATGCAGTGTACAGTATCATGTACTAACTGGCCATTCAACAAAGTATACAGCTATCGCGATTACACTTTTCTTTATTTTTTGCTTTTCTTAATGGGCGGCTATCTTACAGTGAGTTGAGACCTTATCGAAAACGCTGGCTCCTCTTACAAGAGCAACGACCCGTGCTTTTCGTGGGCGCTAAATATTTTAAGCTATGCAAGCATCGATATCCGCGGCCATTAGAGCTCATAATTTATAAGTACCTCATACTCGCGTTCTCCACCCTCACAGATTCAACGACGCGCTGAATGTGCTATAGCCTTGTATTTTCTTTACTCGTTATAGTTTCTCAACACCAGGTGATCTGAAGCGGTGAAAGAAGGCCCGAGTATACTTTTCCGAGAACTTTATTGTGCCCTACAATGCTTCTCTACATGGGCTATCTAGCTGAAATGTTTTTGGCAGAAAATGTGGCCTGCGGCTAGGAATAAAGTGAACGCAAATTGTATCAATATAGCTCGGGGTTTTTTCTTTCTCTTTTTTTGGGGGGTAGGGGGGGGATGTTAGAGAGCAGCTTCACTTTAAGCACTTATTCTGTGTATGGTGAAACCAGCAGCTCCAGCGAAAATTCAGAAATATTTTGCTGTGACATGTAGAGTAAAACAATTTGCAAGCCAAAACTTTTATATATAAATATAGTAAAGGAAATATTTGTGGTTAACAGTGTTCGTTTAGAAAAAGAGAGAGACGATAAAGATGAAAGTGAAGGTGGTCAACGAGGCTAGCTTTCGGCTTGCTGCCGTACGCAGGATAAAAGGGAATAAAAAGAGAACATTGAACAGAAAGATTACGGCTTCATCCATGCAGCGCGTATTTATATCACGTTTACTCATTGGGGACTGGGCTGCAGATGCGCGATTCTGCATTTGAGACATGTTGAACTTCTTCAGGTGCGACTTATGATCGGCTGTCTGGAAATGTGTCTAATTTCCAAAACGTAATCCTCAGCAATCGACATTACATTCAAAAATTAAAATCACTGTGTGATTATTAGGGACGCCGTAGTAAAGGGCATCTGGAAATTTCACAGTTTAGTATTCTTTAACGTGAACTGGCATCGTAAACTACACGGACGCCCACCGCGTTTCGACTCCCCCGAAATGCGACCGCGGTGGCAGTTATAAAGCCCGCGACTTGCGGGTCAGCATTCGAGCACCATGACCACTGCTCCACCGCGGTGGTCCCTCAAGGTCTCACTGAACAAGAAGAGCTCAGTTAAGACAAAAGCGGACAGCATGTTCTGAGCGATAAGTTCATTATACTGTAGTACATGGGCCGCGCTTCAATGAAGTCTGTACTCCTTCGAGAACAATACCGCGAAATGACATGAACATGGAATTCATTAAGGCTTTCGCCGAGTGACCTGTGCATGTCTAAAAGCGGACGGCCGGCAATCGATCTTGTTGGGCATCATTAGGAAGCCGACCGGGCACCCGTGCATAACGAGGTTACGTGGAAATCAATAAACGGTTCGAGAGATAGAGCAGGAAAAGTACCGTGTTATTCGTTTTGAAACACGATAATCGATAAATTATTTGTTGTTTCGCTTTTTTTTTTGCGCACGCAATCTGATTCAAGTCGTGGCAGAAAGAGTATATTCAAGCCATGGCGGAAGAGTAGAAAATCTTTATATAGATTTTTTTTTCATTTTGTACAAACAAACGCGTAACAGTGCATTTATTATCGAGAAAGGACCATTGCAGTTTCCCGTTCAAGTAACAAGATTACAGACGACATAGGCGTGGGCTCCCCCCTTCAGCCCCCCTCCCCCCCAAGTCGCAGCACTCCCTCCCTGCTATGCCAATGTGGGGGACTGACTTTACGCCCCTTTTTAGGCGACTAGGGGGAGAGTCACCCCCCCTCCCCGTACGCACACGTATGGCAGACAAAGAAGGTAACCATGAAAACGTCTACTTGACAACCAAACGCCTTTGGGGATGGGACAGTAAGAGCGAAAGAGGGCAATATATACATGGGTGTGCCGAATACGTGCATTCGATGCTTTTCTGTTTCTTTTTTTTTAGCTAGAGCAATTCTTTTGGCAATAACCGTTCCAATGCTTGTTTTTCATGTTGCTGTTACTTTGTGATGCTGAGCAGGTCCCACTAAAATCTTAATTTTACTCGAACGAAGGTTTGATTTCTTACTTCTATAAAATTACGTTTCAAGTTTAGATGGGAATCGCAAAGCTTTGCCGTTGTTCTCTTGGGTCACGGGTATAGCCTCTTGATACCTGGTATCAAAGCTCTTCGTGGTGTTTGGCGCATTGTGGTGCGCTTTTCTCCACAGTTCTTTTCTTTTTCTTTGTTTCTTTCTATCGTCTTTTGTTTGCATAACTTTGATGCTAAGCCTGGTAACTTTTTTAAGAGGCAATAGCTGGAACTTGTCTCATTCTTTTTCTTTTTTCTCGCCGAGTTTGAATCTTCAGAGTAATTTACACCCCATTCTAATATAAGGAACGAAATGAACATTTGCTAGAAAGGACAGTTTCATCTATCAATTTATAAAGTCATGCACCCATGCCCAACCGTAGGTCATATGATTTAGGAGTAGAAAACCTGATAATGCCATCCCGTTCTACTTTTAAAGAAGTGTTTTCTGTTTTTTAACGCAATATTATAACATATCGGCAAAAATATACCAGATTACCGCATCTTCACGCCTTTTTTGATAGCGTTTTTAGGTGGCATGATCAACAGAGCAGCGTTTATCACGCACACTCCGTATGCTGCAAGCACTGTACCCATTCTTTTTGTTCTCGAAAATTGATGACAACGGAGTGAAGTCAGCATCACCAACATGTGAGCATAACTGAATTCATTCCAATAACCAGCCTAAAAGAGTACGAGAGCATCATAGCCCGTAGTTCACGACGTTCATTTCGTGCGATTTTGTCATAACATCGAAATGAAACAATGACCACCATCACAATACACAAGTCATCTTGAAAGATGGCCACTCTCAATAAAGTAACAGAATATTCACAAGCTACTTCGAAAGTTAGGTTCAGATATATAATTTTAGGCAGCAATAGAGAGAAAGATAGAGAGAAAATAAGAGGATTGACAGTGAGATTAAGCTTTAGTACTGCACTTAAAAGGGGGAGGGGGAATAATAGAATGAGAACTGTTCATCCAGCAAAAGACAATTCTACTGTAAAGCATGTGGGTGCCAACACCTTGCGCTGGTAAACGAATTTTTTTTCTTACGTCGTACATCCCAACGCGAACATATAAGGTCAGGAACCATCGAATGCAATAAACCAACTATTTCCATACATACCAGTAGCACTGTTCGCTTAGTTGTTCAGTATACAAAACGGCAAGGTTACTAATCATAAAATATTATCCGCAGTTTTACGTCCGAAACTGATGACCCTAATTATGAGGCACGCTGTAGGATAATGCTCTGCAAGTTTCGACTCTCCGGTGCTCTTTAACGAGCACTAACATCGCACAGTGCATGGACCTCTCGCATTTCGCCGTGTATCAAAATATGACCGCCACGGCCGGATTCGAACCTGTGACTTGTGGCGCTGCAGCCGAGCACCGTAACGTTACACCACGGCAGAACACAAGGCGGCCAGGTTAGCACTTCAACACGGTGACCCTATAGAATCAATTCGTAAAAAATACGTTGTGCTTAATGCGTACGAACGCCTACATCGCACCCGTCCCCTCCCTTTTTTGTTGCTAAACATGAGACTATACGTCACAGCTCGGCACTAAGAACATACATGCATTCTCTAATGAGTTCGGAGCTTTGCTTCTTTCACACTAGTGTTGAGGGCGGGAAAATCCACTTAACGGGGGTGAGCAGCAGGCTGCGCCGTTAGGCAAATGCCGCATAAACGTGCAGTCTGCTTGGGGGATAACGGGATAGCAGCAAAGCAGAAGCGTTGGCTGGCCCTACCATCAACGCTCCCCTCACCCGGAGCGCGAGCGTTCATGCTTGCCTGGCTCATCGACCTGGCTCGGCCGGCTTAATGAGCACTTCGCACACGGGATTGCAGATCGGGAAAAGTGGTTGTGACGCGCGCCATCGCTTCCACTTGCGCGCCGCAACCGCCACCAGCCCGTGCACCCTCTCTTCGCATTGAACCCCAGTTAAAGATGATGGGTGAACAGGGGAAGACCACATAGCAGACAGTTCCTGCGCAGACACACTCATTAGACTCCACTTGTATACAACTGGAAGTTTGCATAGTCCTCAATAGCTCACAAAATTGCGGCTCGTTCCAAGAGGGTTGCAAGAAACTTTCTTTTTAGAATGGGTGGAGGTAGAACACTTAGAATTATCGTTTTTCGCTTTGTATGCCACGACGAATAAAAATTTGGGGGAGAGAGGGTAGTTCGGGGCCCAGACCTGGTGTGCGACCCCCTGGCTACGGGCCTGGCTTGTTTGGCTCGTTGGCCATGAGTTTGAAGTTGGGGCAAAACGGCACAAAACCAGAAGGAACAGACAGG